AAGCCGTCTTATAAGTTATGACCCCATTTCACCACACGCAAGTGGCAGAAATGACAATGATCAGCTGACGCATTTTTCTTGGCCGAAGTCAGAGCGCGCGGCCCGACGCACCACGCGTATTTGGAAATTCCGACCTCGACGAGCATCAGAAGCCACCTAACAGGCGTGTTCGAAACCGCAGGAGATGATGATGAACGGGTTTATCGAAACTTGATTGGATGAGCATATCGGTAATAGCGATTTCAGTGTGTGCATTTATTGTTCATAGTGGTGTGAAATGTGGTTGGGGTACGACCGACAACCCGTCGGGGCGAATTTCGCACTGGGGTACTCAAAATTTGAAGAATTTAAGACGTTTCCATGAGTTTTGAAGGTATGGATAAGTTCTAAAAATCCGGTTCTCCTTATCTGGGCCATTAACTCCATACGGTCCAAGAAAGCTGGCACACTACCTTTAAGCAGGATGCTGCACAATATAACCTGCATCATTGGACATTGAAGCGAGACTGCCTCCATTGCGCGACTGATGGGGATTCCGGGGATTCCCATGGCCCGCAACCGCGACTCAGCTGGTCACACGGGCATGCTTAGCTGAAATCTGACACACATCCGTTGACACTTACGTGCTAGGTGGGAGCTCGCTCGCATCGTAAGGTTGTCATGAGGCAGTGTTACATGATCCTTCGAGACAACTGGCTGTCCCAGGCGCAGTTTACTGGAATTATTTCAACAAATATAGTAACCCGGAATGTTATCGATACGAAAGGTTCGCTTGTTTAAATTTCCTATATTGTGTAGGGAGACGTTTCTCATCAATTGATTCCGTCACGGGTTCTATAAGCGATTTCACACTTTTATTATAGTTCAAGCGTATTGTATGGTACAATTGGTACAATAGTAAAGCGCGTCGCTTCTTTTAGATAGGTGGAAGTTGGAACGAGAGGCAATTGTGTGATTGTCGGATTGTTCTGCCTTGAAAGGAACGCTCATATCAGCATCAACAGACAACAACCTGTTAACCCTCGCCGGCCGAGGGGGGGGGGGGGGCGGGTGCCGCCCCCCCCCATAGGGTCTTTTCGCGATAGCTCCGAACACGCTGGCGATAGAGAGCTGAAACTTGGCATACCTGACCTTTGATCCAAGCCGGATCTTTTGACACCAACCGCATTTTTGGGTCAGGTCAGGTCACTGACCTATGACGTCATAAGTGAACCTCTGCACGGTCTTCAGATGTCGCAACTTCGCAACGCCCTCACTGCCAGAGGAGATGTCACAGGGAAATGAAACTTGCAGGATCTAGTATCCATTATGAGTCCCACAACTTGTATATCTCAGATTTTTCCTAAAGGTCATATGAGGTCAGGTCATTTTCGTGACCTCACCATTATAAGTCAATGGGGAAAAATGAAAACTGCTATTCTGGCGCCGGGAACGATCTCCAATTATCTCAAGCACACAGAATCGTGATTTGATGCGCTCCTTGCAAGGTTAGATGCGTCACTTTTGCAATGTTGACCTTGCGTGACGTCATTTATGACGTCATCAAGGTCATATTAGTTTTTCGTCAATAACTCTTGATCAAATTGAGCTAGCGAGTCGGGAAAGCCACCAATGGACTCAGGAAGACCTGCCGAATCGAATGATATGCGACATGACCTCTTTCGACCAGCTTCGTGACCTGGGGGTGCTGACCTGACCTTGACCTGAGGTCAACACCCCAAGTTGACCTGACCCGGACAAAAAGTATACCATTCGACGCGCCTGAGCGAGACGAACACGATGCTGCCAAAATCGGCGCTCTGCGGCCGTTTTTTGCGAAGTTATTCACCAAAAACTGAACCGTACCTTGGGGCACTTGACCTGACCTCAGAGGTCACCGGTTGACCTAGGACCTTAAAATCGGGTACCAATCTCTGCGTCTCGTAACGGCGCACACGCTCGTTTTTTCCGCGACGCGCTAGCTCCACCAGGGGCGAAACGGCGAGGGGAGGGGGTCGTACCCGCCCCCCCCCCCCCCTCGGCCGGCGCGTATGTAGAAAACCAATAGGTCCGGCGAGGGTTAATATTCACGGACTGCATAGTGCATACAATTAAGGTGACCAATTTTCAACGAAAGGTACGGACTGCATACAATTAAGGTGACCAATTTTCATCGAAATGTATAGGTCAATTAAGTTATCGAGATGCGATTGCTAAAAACACAATTTTTTTTTTTTTAGGACATCGGAGCTGTGACGTCCAAAGAGAGGTGACAAGTATAGCGCATTGTGGCCACCAGTTACTGTCCCTCTCCTTCATCTTCGCCTCCGCCCTACGTCTCCTTATCGGAACTGCCCCCCCCCCCGCCACCAGCAGGCACATTACGCCAACTTTATATAGATAACTTAACATTCCCAATATACTTTTTAAAGCAAAGTAAAAATAGGTAGGAGCGTTCTTATCGGTAGTGTCGGGGCACGCACGGGGACGCGCCGAGACGCGCTATGCGGTGCAGCCGGCGCCCAGCGGGCGGCGGCCGGGGATCAGGTGGCCCGGCGCGGGTCAGTCGCCGACCGGAGACGCGGGCTGCGGCGTACCTACTTGTACCGACTTAGTTAAAGACTGCTGTTAAAGACTACTTTTTGCTGTTGACTACATTTTGCGCATCAACTTTTCGCGCACCTATTAACTATTTGCTTGTTGACTTTTTGTGTGTTGACTTTTAGTGTGTTGACTTTTAAGCATGTTGACTTTTAGCGTGTTGACTTTTAGCATGTTGACCTTTCGCGTGTTGACTTTTAGCGTGTTGACTTTTAGGCGTGTTGACTTTTAGCGTCTTGACTTTTTTCGTGTTGACTTTTTGCGCGTTGACATTTTGCGTGTTGACTTTATGCGTGTTGACTTTTAGCGTGTTGACTTTTAGCGCGTTGACTTTTTGACATGTCGGCTTTTTGTCTCTTTGACATTATGTCTTTTGACTTCTTGCGTGTTGACTTTTAGCTTGTTGACTTCTGGCGTGTTGACTTTTTGGCAGGTTGACTTTTTGTTCATTTGACATTTTGTCCTTTGACTTCTTGCGATGTTGACTTTCTGTCTGTTGACTTAATGTCCTTTGACTTTTTATCCGTTTACTTTTAACGTTTTGACTTTTCATCCGGGAATCGTGGTTGCCACCCTCCCCCCAGGTAGTTTTTCTGCTCTGCACTCAACATTTTTAGAGCTAAAAGCCTGATTTCGTATAGCTGCTCCTCTATCCTTTCTTGATGTCCACTGAAAATTTTAAGTTCCTGTGGTTTTTGGTTTAGGAGATACTGACCTTGTTCTTCAGGTCATGTCATAACCCAAATGACAAATACTTAATATGTTGCGTTGGCTATGGGTCTTGTGAGCTTTTGACACCTTGATTTTGACCTGTTTCGCCAGTCTTACCTTCCACCTATCATGGAACATGTTGTTCGACGATGTACAGATGTCAAGGTCAGGGTCAAGGTCAACCAAATCATTGCGATATAGGCAAGCTGAATTTACTTTTCGTGAAGTTTCTTTGACTGTATTTTTGGTAAAACCTTCTCATTTCATGATCTCATTTAATATGGACACATAAACAATCGGTGCACACATCATTATACACACATACACTCACAGACATGCAAACACATATCATTGACCTTGACCTAACTTGACCTGAAAGGACCTCAGCAGCAAAACCCTGGTCGGATAGTGTGACAAAGAGGTTCTAACTGGCTTGGCACCACAAAACGGCATCGTCATCGGTACCTATATGATGAGCAGCGCACTTGATATCCAACGGTGACCCAAAACAGCAACATTTTTTAGTTTGACCTGACCTGGAAGGTCAATGACTGACCTGAGAAGGTAAAACTGGGTATCATGGATTTGTCTCTTCCCAAAGAATCTTTTTGGTCCCTACCACGAAGCTCTATCTCCAACAGGAACGAAATGGCGCGGGAGGATGGCAACCCCCCCCCCCCCCCTCCATGTGCGTTCTAGGATAGGAAAATGATATGTGCGGGCGAGGGTTAAGCATATCCTGTGATTTGCATAACGCAAAAGGAGAAACATGTAGTTTCCTAACGGATGGTAATCGTTGGATTATTAGGTTGAATGAATTGCTCGATTAGATTGAACGATAACAGTTGTTAGATTTGCAAGAGCGGTGTTGTATTCGTTTGAAAAAAAAAACTTCTGAACAACCGATTGTGACCATGATACGTGGCAAACAAATACTGACTAAAATACTAAAATTGACTGAACAAATTATAGTAAGTTCCAATGTGGCATGATGAACTACCTGTGTGGCAAGGCATCAGCTGTTTTTAAGGAATTTCCTACAAAAGAAAGTAACTTTTAACCTGTGCTGATTTTAATCAATGATCGAGGAGAAGGTCATTTAAAATACCAAAGCTAAAAAGTTTCCATCGAAAGAACGCCGCATAAAATTTTGTCATGAAACAGACGCATTGATATGCTAAGATGTCACGTGCAAAGGTCAAGTGCAATCAATAATCAACGCGTTTCAGCCGCGATTTGGGAGCGCAAAGCGTTTTCCAAGCGGGACGCGTTTTCGACGCGGGTTGTGAGCTGAACTGCAAGTGAAAACACAGCGGACGAAGCGATTTCCGCGCTTGACGCGAGTTCGACGCGATTTGCAAGCGTGTGCTGTGTTCCGGCCTTAAGGGCTGCGTGGTCGATCCCTTAAAACCAAAATGCTTAAGTTTCATCAAGTATTGACGAAGTGTCATTTCTAGTCTTGGAACTGTGGCTAAACCACACACAAAATATAATGAATAATAACTACCGACTAGTGCATCGTTATTTTGTCATCAAATCCCAATCACTTCAGATGTCTTTTTAATCGGATGTTACCTAACTGTTCAAAGCTACTCTAACCCCTTCAGTTATCTTTTTATACGGGTGATTGCTGACTGTTCAAAGCAACTTTATCAGCACGTTCCGTCCGCTATTTCACCGATCCTCATTCTCCCCTCACCACTCCGTACCTTGAGCGGCAGCATGGCATCCAGTTTTCGGCGCGTCTCGGCGCTGGCCAGGCTGCAGATCTCCGCCCGCTGGCGTCGGACTACCTGCTGCAGAGCGGCAATCTCTTGTAGTAGCATGGGCGAGTCGCGCACGGCCGGCGCCGGTAGAGAGGCCGGACCGCTGCCGGGCGACGAAGGCGATGCTGTGGGGGAGAGAAAGAGGGGTTAGAGAGAGAGAGAGCAACAGCGCTGGCAGAGGTCGGACCGAAGGCGACGCTGTCTGTGACAGAGAGAGGTAAGAGAGGGTGACGGAGACGACAAAGAATCCGCTCCGCTGATGGAAGACAAGGGCGATGCTGTGGAGACGAGAGACGAAGGGGGTTAGAGACACCAACAAGAAACGCCGAGTGGAGGCCAGCGAGAGGGGCACGCTTCCGAGTGAGAGGAGCGGGGAAGGTTAGAGATGTAGTCAGATGGAGGCAGTGGGTGGGGGACGGCAGAGACTAGAGATGATGGTGTAAAGGTGAGAAGAGGTCGAAACAACAGGTGGGGAAGACTGGTGACAACAAGCAGCAAAATGGTCGACATGAGAAGGACCTGGACAAGAGCACGGAACATAAACATGTTGGCGAGGAAGCACGAAGATAAGACTTGAGAAATGAACATGTAATAAAATAATGTAATTGTCACAACAAAATACCCTCAACAGCTGCTACATTCATCGCTGAATTAATGCCCACAACAGCTGTCCATAGCGCGCTATCGTATGGTAAACCCTCTCGAGCGGAAGTCCCTCTCTGTCCATTTACATGAGCACCATTCATAACCAGTGTGAGCGTGCCCCCAGCTGGGGTGCGCTGACATGAGCCGATGAAGTGCTCTGTCTCATATTCATACCCGGCCGCTGCGGCGGCACCTGGATGTCAACACCCTGAGCACGCGCCGGACGTCATCCAGCCGTCATCAGGTGTCATCAGGCGTCATCCAGCCGTCATCAGGCGACATCGGCTCTATGATGAAGGCACTGATGTGAAGCGGTGCTCACGCTCACACAGACACTCTTGACAGATAGACAAGAGATCATCGCGGCTGGCAGCCTGACAGCCACCAGTGCTATCTCCAATCGGAATACGAGCCGGCTTATAGAGTCGTCAGTCTTCGATATCGCTGGCTCGCCCGCAGTACACCTATCAAAAGTGAGGAGCGGCCCAGAGCGCTCGGGAACGGCGCAGAATAGGACAGTGCTGAGGGCGTCATGGTCAGGCCAGAGCAGCCGTATCTGGCACAGGGAGAATAAGAGCGAACGGAGCTCCCTCGGCACCGGCGAGGACGACAGAGGCGAGGATGGCGGGGAAGGATGGGTAGAAGTTAACTCTGTAAACCCTGACAAGTGACCTCAGAGACTTCAGGATGCCACGGTCAACCGCACGCAACGACGTTGCGTGGGGAAACAGCAGGGGCCGGAAACAGCTGGGCGCCTGACTGAGGTGTTACATTGGACTAACATACAGACTGGTGTGAAGGGTGATATTTCACGGCGCACAAGCGACCGACCGTGGGTAGCACGTGGGCGGAGTAGCGAAACAGCGCCGAGCGCCGCGCGATACACAGTGATGTCAATGTTTCCGATATCCGTACAACAGGCGTGACATCGCTCTGTCACAGCCGGGTAGTTCTCGGCAGCTCTGTTTGGACTGACGCCTCAGGGAGACGCGGCGTGCCTCTGATCTGACTCGGCCGGACGATTTGTCCGGTCTGGGCTGTATGACGGCGGTGGTTACCATTCGTTCGCCCCTCCGCGCCGCATCCCCGGTCGCTGGTAACTAAATGACGTAACCTGATGCAGAAGTCTGTTGTCTTGGCGCGCGCCGTATAGGCAGGATTTTGAGCGTCCTTTAGTCGGGTTCAATTGTTGCGTACACCACAGGGACTAAGCAGCCTAACAGTCTGACATCAGTCAGTCTGCCTGAAGTTCTTGATTGTTCTTCCGACTTCCACTCAGTTGTGTGTCTGCTTAAAGCAGCTGTTCAAAGTAGCAATATCTGGTCCCAGCAAATGACCTCAAATGATATTCGGTGGTAGAGTGAATCGGAATAGAAGTATTTTGATGACACACTATCACTCATACTCAGTCAGTGCTTTGGTTTTGCACCGAATTTTTCGCCCCATTGAACCTCGAAGTCGCTTGGGACTAACTTTCTCGCATTCTCGATGAGCTGGCCAAATACGCTGGAAATGACGTAACCCGCACGCGCAATGACTGATGACCTCAAGGGACGGGGAAACACCGCTGACGTCAATGAACAAAACCCCGTTCTGGGTGGCCTGCATTTGCTGAGAGCATTTGCCGGCAACGCCTGGACACGAAAAGTACCCGGAGGTGTCGTTTTAAAGTGACTTCAGAACATGTTTTTCAGTGAGGCTCTGGATAGGACGAGCAGCTTCTCTCTTGTCACCGAGATAAGACAGCGCCTGTTCCAACTTGTATAGCTAAGAAGATTTAGACCCATGATAAAAGATGAAATGGGGCCTCTTTTTGCGCGATGCCCTGATTGCGCTTAACCTTGTTATAGTAAGATCAATAGTCATGATATAGTACTAACCAACTAAGCTAGCCACAAAGCTCCGGTGTTCTCTGCTTTGATACCAAACCACAACAACAGCTTTAGTGACTACCTCATCAAACCATCTAGGGTATTTTCATACATGCATGCCTTAACAAAGCGTGAAAGTAGACTGGAAGAATAATACCTACTTCAGTCTGCTCAATAAGCACGATAAACATGAATGTCGAGACACGCCCTATGTTCGAACCATTTTTAAGCCACAATTTAATTAAGAACTTAAATAATGCCGTATCTATCATTCTAAAAAAACAAGCATCGTACACGTTTATCTTAAGCCCACATAACAAACGTGAATATGGAATTGCTCTGGGAGAGCAATACAAGGGAGCAGGGTCAATGGTCAGAAAGCGATTAGCACAACGTCCAGACAAAAACGCCACGATGCCAGCATGACGCGCCAGTAAAATCCCACTGACCCTCCGAAACCCTACTACCCTACTAAATCCCACAGACAGGCGGGGCTTACCAACCAGACCCTCTCTCCAACCCAATGTCAACCTGCTCCCAGTCGCCTCCACTCGCCATTCCCAGCCCCCCCCCCCCGACTCATATCCGAGCTAGCTCAGCCTCCCCTACCCCCCGACTCACATCCCAGCGTGCTCTGGGTCAGCCCCTGCAGCAGCTCCTTCTTCTTGATGAGTTTGAGTTTCTCTTTGAGCTCGGACCGCTCAGACTCCAGTGACTCGAGGTCCGTCTGCAGGTGGTTCAGCGTTTCCTCCGACTCGCGCTCCTTTCTGCGCAACAGCTGGTTGGCGTCGTCCAGCTTCCTCTGCGGGTCAAAGAGGGGTAAAAAAGGAGTTAAAAGGGGTTACAAGGGTTTAAAAGGGGCTAATAGGGGGGCCAATGGGTCAACAATTAGGGGTGAAAAAGAGACAGACTTATGGTCAGTGCGGAATGAGCTAGAGCGGATTCAACACGGGGTCAATCATGGGAAGAAAGAAATTTGCGTGGATGGGAGAGAATGCGATATGGTCAGTCGTCAGTGCAAGTTCAATATAAGGCAATGTCCAGTGGACAACTGGTCGAGTCGACATCATTCAATGTCATAGGAAGCCACACACAACTCGTGACCAAGATTTGCCCGAGCAATGCTGGGGAGGGCCAATACACCACGAGCGACCTAGACAAGACAGATGGCGTCCTGTGTACTACAGCGAAAAAATGAAACAGTACAACTACCAGCGCGGTCTGAGGAGGCATTCAGAACAAACAACCAGTCAGGAATCACAAACAATATCAGGGTAGAAACAGATCAAAACACAGTAAAGCAGGATTGCAACACTATCCCCTCTTTCGCCGCCGTGTAGCACTAGCATTACCCAGGTGTTAGCTTATCTGCCGACCCGCATTGTCCAGTGTGTCAAACGGCAGAGAAACATTGTTCTCGGCCGGTCACCGACCAGGCCGAGACCCACTTACACCACCTCACACGGAAACGTCGTGCAGTGGGGGCATCTCCAGTCCTCAGGACTGCCTTCGCGTGGCAACAGCCGACTTTCTATCATCGTTTTCTAGCGTTGGGCAGGCTATAAATTGTTGAACTACCGGCACTGTGCCTAATGAGACCACCTGGTCCTAATCAAACCTTCTTTCTTCCACCCTGTGAGACTTCATCCTTACTATTCGTGACCACGCACTCTCCCTTCAACATCAGCACATGGTGCGTAATTCCTCTTCCCCATCACTGTTTAGTCTCCCTTCTTTCCATCCCCATCACCATAAATACCGCCTCGCCTTCCTTACCTACTGCAGTCTGTTCCATCCTCCTCCTCACCATTAAACCACCCTCCTCCCCCACCCCTGAGCTACCGACCTGCAGTTTCTCGATGGTAAGATCCGCGTCCTTCGCCGATCCGGACAGCTTCTTCTCGGCCATTTCGCGCCTGACGTTGGCTTCGCTCAGCTCCTCCGCCTTCATCTTCAGCGCCAGCTTGAGCTCCTTGATCTCCTCCTCTCTGTTCTTGAGGCGCGCCTTCATGCCGCTACCCTCGAGCATCTCGGCCTTGACGGCGCGCTGGCGCAGCTCCACTGGCGGTGTCGGCTGTGGAGGGAGAGGGGGTGGTCGGCTTTTACTATAACGTTATCCAATCCATTCATTCCATATCATTGCCTGCACAACATTCTTTTTTAACAATCAGTGGGCTACGAAAACAGCCCAACCCCACACCGCAACACAAATCAGGCTTAGAAAGGCTTAGCTTATCCGCATTCCTCATATAGGTGCTGAGCACACGAGGATTATGGTAGATAAATGGCCCATGTGAATTCTTAATTAGTCCTCGCTGCCAATTGCACCAATTATCTATAGGTACGTCCTTGTCTGATTTTCTTTTTTCAGTCACCATCTGCCTGCTAGTTTCTCGTGCCATCATCAATCTCTTCAACCACCTTTTGCATTTTCAGACACCTTCTCCATACCATCTACCCTCTCATCCCCGTTCCACCCACCTTCTCCGGCACGGAGCCGTCGAAGTCGTACTCTCCCTTCTCCAGAGCGTCGGCCAGCCGGGTCAGCTGCTCGGAGACAGCCGTCAGCGAGGAGCGCAAGGAGTCGGCGCCGTGGTCGTCTGCGCCGTACACCAGGTCCACGCTGCGCGCCACCGCCTCCATACACTTGGACGAGGGCAGGCCCGACTCCACGTCTGCCAGGGGGAGGGGAGGGTTAGGGGAGGGGTGAGAGGGGGGAGGAGGCGCATCGCTATATATGTGTTGGCACGTGCCACATATTGAGAGAAAATAGTGGAGATAGGCATACAAAATGCAAAGATGATCACAAGCTGAGTCACAAGATTAATGAAAATGAAGACACGCAAGATCTTATTCGAGGCTGAACTCAGTCCATGCGTGTTCACGACGCTGATATAAACAGATACACTGTGACGGTAAGTCGTTATTTCACGCCAAAACACTCCCGAGCCACATATCAGCCCGGAGGATAACGCGACCGCAGTTGTTTTCGCGTTGTTATCGCCGTGTACGGTTAGGAGGCGCCAACACAATACGGCCACATCGTTCCTCATCGTGTGACACATTGTCTTCACGCAGCTATCTCGTCCACGGAGAGAGTCTGTGGTCTCTGGCCTGCGCGGTATGCTCAGATGTCGTGACGATAGTGGGAGTTACGTGGTCGGTGACCCATGACCCCGAGTTGTGACGTGAGAATGATAGTGGAAAGAGAGAGGGGAAGGAATAGAAAGGAGGCATGGAGAGTGAAATGAGGGGGGATAAAAAGGATAACAGGAAATGAGAGGGAGGATAAATGGAAGGCAACCAAATGGAAAGAGAGAGAATAGAGATAGTTTGTTTCTTGAGGCCTTACTCTTAGGGTGCGCCGACATTTTGGACATTTTGCGCCCCCTCCCCCCAAAAAAAGAGGGAGAGAGGAGAGTGGAGACAGATAAAAAGAGTGAAAAGAATCAGGACAGGAACACGGAGAGGAGCGAGAAGAGCGGATAGAAGGAAAGGAAGAGAGGGAGAATGAAAACACAGACAGGCGGTAAGAGACACATTACCAGTGAGCGCAGCCAGCAGCGGCGTGGAGGCACGTCCGACGTCCCTCAGCACGAAGCCCACCCGGTACAGGTGGCGCAGCACGTCTCCGATCGAGTCGCCCACCTGGCGACGGAGGAGTGGAGGTCAGAGGAGGTCACGGCGAGGTCACAACTGTGACAGAAGGGGCACCGGGTCATAGAGAGGTCACGGTGTCAGCAGAGGTCACGGGGAGGTCACGGGGAACATTCACTGAAACTTTATCATCCTGTCAGCAATCACTGGCACGGCCGTTACAGACTTCCTAGCTTACCAACGTGCTGGGCTTAGATAAACATCTAGAGAAGCAGTAATGGCCTCATCGCCGGACGATTACGATCGATAACTCAGAACCGATCGAAAGCAGTATCAGTAGCGAGAATCAGCTAAAGAGGCTAAAAGTATGCGATAGACAACAATTCGGCGTATTTTGCCAGCGGTCTTGCAGTTCCACCTGTCGCCAGATTCTCTTTACTCGTGTTGTCAGCAAGGGAGAATAGGCGCGGCCAACGTCAAAAAGGATATACTCCGAGTAAAACCGATGCGATTAGATATATCCGCAAAATAGCTCCATAAAATATGCGCTCCTAACAAGACCAATGAGACTCAAATACGACTTCCGTATACTGATTCCGGAAGAAACTGCCGATGCCGTGCGGCGGTCACTACTATGCTCATTCCAAACATCATCGTCTGAGGAATTCTACGACTTTCCAGGAGGCCGGCTGGCTATCTAGTATGTTGTAACAGTGACGCAATGGTACCATCGTAACCACAACCTGTGTCCGACTTTCTTTACTGCTCAACGGTCGTGATAAAATTTAGCTGACTCACCCGTCTACCCAGTACGGACAGCACCTGTTCCCCACACAGAGAATACTCTACATACTGACAGACGCGCTACAGTTGCACATCAACCACAATCCCCTGCGCCACACTTTTATCGGTTACTGAAAACCATAAAACAGGCTCAGTCTCGAATCATCGTTAGAGCACGCGCATGGGCACCGCCATTTACGTAACAGTATGGAAATACAGTTCTTCAGTTAGTCACGGCTTAGCGGTATGTCCCGGTGGAGCGTCATTCCCTGACCACAGTCCGTCAGCTCACGGTCGCCAGTCGAGCTCTGGGGCACGCACAGTACCAGTCAGCTCACGGGGATCGCGGCTCTGTGGTGGGGGGACTTCCGCGCCCGCCCGAGCGGCTAATCGTATTAGGGTGGGAGCGAGACTCTCCGGCCGGCCCGACAGAGGAGGGTTGAACAAGTGCGCGGCACGGAGAGCGGTACATGCCGCTTACCGCTCGGTTTGCTGAAGGCTGAGTAAGTGGAATGGATTCGAGGGTCGTGGTGCAGCGGTGGTACATGTTTACATGACCGATGTAGAAATGTAATACGGACTAAGCTGTCTGTCTGAACAATACGCGCTTTTCTGAACGGAAAATGAAATGTTTGACAAAGCCACAACACGGCTGTGGGCTAACTCTAAGAAAACTAATCAATGGACACATCACGCAGAAGCACTTCAATGGGATTTGCAGACAGGTCCTATTTTACTAGAATGACTTGCAGCTAGCAAGTCACATGTCACGAATTCCCAGAGAGCCCTTCGCCGCCGCCAGCCCAATAATTCCTCATACGTGCTGGATTTAGCTCGAGCTTATAGCCGGGATTTAGGTTAAGGGCTAAGTTAAGGCCAGCTACATCACGTTTGGAAGGCAGAGCACACAAAAATGTGTTTTTTGTCATTATCGAGTTCTTCCGGGCCACAACCATATGGAGTTGACATGCGATTTAGTTCTGACCTACCATCTTCGCATGCTGGGCGAAGTTAGTTTAAAGGTAGTGTGCCAGCTTTCTTGGACCGTATGGAGTTAATGGCCCAGATAAGGAGAACCGGATTTTTAGAACTTATCCATACCTTCAAAACTCATGGAAACGTCTTAAATTCTTCAAATTTTGAGTACCCCAGTGCGAAATTCGCCCCGACGGGTTGTCGGTCGTACCCCAACCACATTTCACACCACTATGAACAATAAATGCACACACTGAAATCGCTATTACCGATATGCTCATCCAATCAAGTTTCGATAAACCCGTTCATCATCATCTCCTGCGGTTTCGAACACGCCTGTTAGGTGGCTTCTGATGCTCGTCGAGGTCGGAATTTCCAAATACGCGTGGTGCGTCGGGCCGCGCGCTCTGACTTCGGCCAAGAAAAATGCGTCAGCTGATCATTGTCATTTCTGCCACTTGCGTGTGGTGAAATGGGGTAATAACTTATAAGACGGCTTTTTCATATCAATTATTTTACATAAAATCATATTTCAAACCATAAATAATGTTCGACAGCCAAATAAAAGAAACAATACCAATACGGGCTTACAGTGACATTGTGTTGTCTACGATTAGACAGCTGATAACTCATTCCCGTACGTCGTATGGTCGTAACACTATAATGACCTTTGCTTATTGTCACAAGTGCGCCGCATTCGCGATTGTTGCCCGACGCCTGTTTGCAGGTGAGCCCACTACAGTTGTTATACATATCTAAAAACCGAAAAACTTTTAGGCGAAAAAGGCACTATTCCAGGCCCATTTTTGATTTTTTTTGCGATATTAGGTAAAAACAGAAGCTTCTTATCCTAGGAAAAATAAAATGGGAAATCTTTCAAAGGTGGCACACTACCTTTAAGTTCGACTCGGTCTCGAGACCATCATACCTATGAAGAAATAAATAAATGAGGATAACGTCCGCTGACACCAAGACAAATCGGCACGTCTTATTCGAGGAAGTTTTCCCTGTCTATCACTGGCTTCGTCAACTCATCAACCAAAAGCATTTAAAGCAAGCATTTTTAAAGTAAGCCAGACAAAAAAAAAGAGATTACCTAGTAAAAATAGGAGATCCTTTCAACTGATCAGCAAGAGACCCCTTTCCACCTGGTAAGGATACGAGATCCCCTACCCTGATAAGGGTAAGAGACCCCTCTCCATGGCCTGGATAGGATATCCTCTTTACCTGGTCCGGATAGGAGATCCTCTCTGCCGATCCGTCCTGGGGTAGGCGGCGTCGGACTCTCTTTGCCAGCTGACCACAGGCCTCGGCAGTGGCGGCCAGCCACCCGAACAGGGTGTGGGACTCGCCCTCCTGAGAGATCACCTGCAGCAGCGCATGGGGACGTGCAGTCAGAGAACTACATAGGGGTGGATGGTCAGAGTGGAGATGGCCACCGGTCCGACGATGTGGTGAAGAGGAGACTAGGGCGCCTTTCCCAGAAGCTGAGGGAGGGACGCAGTTTTTGTGAACAAAATTGACAAGATGATTACCGTAATGACATGGAGCATCAAGTTTAATGAGCTCAGGCATGATGCTTTGGCTATACCTAACAGGGTGCTGAATAGCCCTTTGCTGTTGTAAGAGTCTTCATGTCTAAAAGCCGCAACAATTGGCCCCAGATAAAGTACACTAACGATCGTTTACCAGCACTCTCTCATTACAATCGGTGCTGCCACCGCCGTCGTTACGCACCTTCAGCCGCTGAGCCTCGGCCTCTATCGACGAGCAGGCGGAACTCATGGTTTTGGCGGAGGCCAGCAGATGGCTGTAGTGGTCGGTGCCAGCTGATGCCAGGTGGTTCGGGTACAGACTGGTGAAATAGTTCAGCACGCGTTCCATGTTCTCCAGGCCAACGTTTTCACCCAGCTGAGGACACAAGAGGACACCTTAGTGAATGATAGACGAGACTCAGGTCAATAGCACAACTCGAAACAGGTTCAGTTAAACCTACTCGGCAGTTTCGCATAACACCCCGGTCCCTGAAACATCATCCACAGAACAGGTCGGCTCTGCAATGGTCTCATTGGACCGAAAGAGCCTAACCCAACAAAACAAACAAACAGAACAGGTAACGCTGTTAACTGCTCCCTCTGTAAGACAATGGGACCGCCTTCTGTCCCTCTGCGCCGTCACCCTCACTGTGCCGTTACATGGTCCCTCCAAGCCATGTAACGACACAGTGACCCCTCTAAGCCATGTCTCTGAACCTTCCCTGTCTTATCCCGAGTCCCTCCACGATTCGTTACCTGATCCTGTCGAAGGAGCTCGATGTAGAAGTCGACTCCCCTCTCCTGAGCGGCCATCTCCGGGTAGAGGGTGCCGACCTTCAGCAGTGTTTCCACATCGACAGTGTCCAGTGCGTGACGGTACTGGTCCAGACTCGTCTGCCAGGGATGGGGGGGGGCGTTAGGTCAGAGAGGATAGGATAGGGGCGGACGTGACCTCAGAGGGTCAGGGCAGAGCGGAAACAGCGGGGAGGGTCAGAGGCTGGAGACTGCACGGCGCTCACAGCCGGTCGCCGGAGTTAACAAATGAAGATGGCGATTCAGTTTTTTTTCACAAAGTTCATGTCCCGACCATCGGGCTCAAGATCAGCAAACGTGTAGCCAAGAACGCGAAAACCATGATCCAGAACATAGGACATTACACTGCAAACATATTTACGAGTAAGGAAAAGACCTGTCAAAAAGTCATAAATATACGAAAGACAATGTGTCCGTTGAACAAACTACTCTGCCCCCGACCCACCTGGAGAGCCAGCAGCAGGTGGATGAGCCGGGCGCCGAAGCAGTACTGCTCCACCGTGTGCGTCTTGAGCACGGCCGTCTTGTCGATGGTGGATGGAGCCGGGAAGCGGTCCCGCAGCTGGGCCAGCAGGATTTCCGCCTTGACGGTCAGCCGGCGCACTAGCAGAAGTACCAGCACGGCGTCGTGGTCGCCTAGTGGAGGGAAAAGCGGGGGAGTGAGGGGTGAAATAGTTGAGGGGGGGGGGAGGATGGGCTTTAATCGGCTGGGCTGGTGGTGATTGTTTTTGGACAGTGAGGGAAACATCTAGCGGCATTATATTCTATATTCCGCACTCCGCAGTCTGCAAAGCTTATGGCTCGCAATTTCATTCGGGTATCAACCAACGCTATACCGGTGAATAGAGACGATTATCCCGCTCCATCTCCCACAAGTGAATTTAAACAGTACTTCCCCGTCTTCTCACCTCCCCTGGCCAGGAACGAATCGGGCAGGAACTTGGCCAGCAGCTCCACGTGACGGTTCGACTGCTGCACCTCAATCTTTCGCAGGTCCATTTCGATCGCCTTGGCGTGCGCCTTCGTCTCCGCAAACATTTTCTGCGAGGGGAGCAGCACCAAATGTCATAAATTATCCCACAATGAGCGAAACTGAATATCTTTTATCGCACATCCATCTTTTCACTTCAGTTAAATATGGAAATATAATACCAGTATAGCGCCTTTTGGGGCGACTAACGGAGCGAGCGAGAGGGTGAGCCTTGCACGTGCGAAATTTCGAGGGGGTACCTCCAGCTGACTTGTGCACGGCACCCTACTAACCGGTCTCTAGCGATGTGCCAAATTTGAGCACAATCGGCCCAGCCGTTCTCGAGATCTGGAAGCGGCACCCTGCACGTGCGCACGTGCAAAATGGGTCCCAACTGACTTTTGCACGGCACCCTACTAACCGGTCCCTAACCATGTACCAAATTTGAGCGCCATCGGTCCAGCCGTTCTCGAGATCTGGAAACGACCCCTGCACGTGCGCACGTGCAGCAGCACCCCAACTCTGGCACATGGATATGCAGTGCCTAGTGGGTGCCTACCTACATGCCAACTTTCAGCGCAATCGGCCAAGTAGTTACCGAGATATTGCAACAATTACAAAAATGACACCTCTTCGTTTTGCACGTGGCACGTGCATAAGGGGTCACCCACATGCATCGGGAATAGTCCAATACTTGGTAGAAGGAATGAAGCTACCCCACAAAAATTACCGCATGTAAATCGGTCAAGTGGTTGCTGAGATATAAGCCTCGCAAAAGCGTGACCACGGCCGGCCGGCCGGCCGCTCATACTCAGAAATTTCCGTTATTCTACGTAAGACTCCGCTCGCTTCGCTCGCTCCGTAAAAACTATTTAAAGTAACACTACGCGAGCCTTCCAATCAGAACATCAGAAGCTTGTGTACCATATCACTGAAACTCGACTCTCATCCCCTTGCAGTAGACTTATATAATCGCTCTAACAATTTCATATTTGCACATAATCCATCTTTGTCTGTACCTTTCCTGTTATTCACCGACCTCTCCATTCCCCGACCCCCCCCCCCCCCCCCCCACCCCAACAAACCCACCTTGAAGTCGATCTTCTCCGCCGGCACGCCGACCGGCTTGTTGGTCTCCTTCTCCAGCTGATCCCTCAGCTCGGTGTTCTGATCCTGCAGACGCTGTACGAGCTCCCGGAACTTGCCGATCGTGGCCAGGTGATCGGCGATTACCTCGTTGGCAGCGTCCAGATTCCTCTCAGTCTGTGGGGGTGAGCGGGGACGGGATTTGGTAACTACTGTATCCACTAGCGAAAGCTGCACGAAACTGTGGCAGAACGCACCTGACCAGAGGAACTAACGACTCACGTTTATGACAACCACCGGGCTGCGACACATTACCCATATAACCTACATAGTGAAACTATAGGCTAGTGCACGATCACGAAGGGCTCTGACATACCGGTCGTTTCCAATCCTAGCCATATTCTCTAACAGCTTCCCTCTCACCGCACGTCTTGACACGCTGTCTACGCTCCGCACCCTAGTCTCGCTATCCACATGCAACTATGTAGGTACTCGTATATACCGTCCATCCACCCAGCCCCATCCCAGCCTGCTCAGCATTAACTTCACCGACCTGTCTCATCTGTCCCGTCTGCATGTCCAGCTCCTGCTTCAGTTCCAGCTCAGTCTCTCTAAAGTTCTCGGCAATCTCCTCGTTCATGTCATGAAGCGCCTCCAGGGTTTCGACCGACTCCTGCAGCTCCTGAATCTTGTCCTCCTGAGCGAGGTTCCGCTGAGAGAGGTGTTCCACCATCTCCTCGGCACCGAGAGCCGCGTCCACCTGACGGGGAAGGGGGACAACACAGTCAGTCAGTGAGGATGTCGGATTCACGAGTTTGTCTCGGTGAACTGGACACGAACAAATTCAAAGACAACTTGAGAGCGTACTGGCAATTGGCAGATACCGCGGGTAAAATAGACTATCAAATGACCACAAGACCTTGTCTTCCAGCATCAGCATAGTTGCTGGAACTTCATGCAATCCATGCATCTGCAAACTTCGCATAGCCATGACTCTCCAATCTCCATTTTCAAAGAAGTCATTATTCACCATACAATCACTCAGCCCACCCAGCTACAATTCATCACCATAAACCTTTTCCAACATCTCCTTTCCTCCTTCCTCTATCTCTCCCCCACCCCACTCAGCAACTCCCTCCTACCACCCTCAGCTCACGCACCTGTTCCTGCAGATCGGCGATGCTGGCCTCCATCTCCTCCGAGCGGGCCCGGAACTTGTCCCTCTCGCGTCCCAGTTCGGTCAGACTCGTCTTCAGCGTCTCCATCTCCTTCTGGGTGCGCTGCAGCTCGTGTTTGTCGTGCGCGGCTACGTCCCGCATCCTGCGGGAGGCTCGTGATTAAAAGTGAGGGGCGAGTGAGACATGAAGGCGTGAGGGGTGAGAACATGAAAGCATGATGGGTGTGAGGGTACGAGGGGGTGTGGGGCGTGAGGGTGGAATGCATGGTCCTATCAGGTGTGGTCCTAGAAGCGTAGGACGTGTTCGAAACAAAGAAGACACGATTGGAGGCGAGGACTATTGATTATGATGATGTTTGACTTCAAGGATGCGGGACACGGAAACTAAAAAAGGGACATCGGCCATCATAAGGACGAAATAAAAACGAGAACGTTAAATATGTGTTTGAATCATCAGATCGGCCATGCGTCCTAGAAATACAATCAATTTTTGACATGATTTAACAAAGACTGCCAACCATCCCCAGCCAACCCTTCCCTTGTACAATTATCTATAAATATCGCGAAACCCCCTCCCTCCCTCCCCCAGTGGCGTAGCGAAGGGGGGTCCCTATGGTCCATAGGGACCCCCTTGGGCCTTCCATGGGCCCCTATCTCCGAAGCTGACGGCAGGGCCCTTCGAAGTTTCAAAAGTTTAGGGATGGGCTGTTTCAAATCGGGGATCCCACATGTATGTGGGCTTTACCTTCGTACGTACACCCTACCTTACCGAATTTCTAGGCCGGATTTCACCCACTTTATTTTTGATGAGCCTCTTTTTTAATTTTTTATTGAATATGCATTTCAGCTCATAGCTTGGTTGAAGCATGTTGAAGTTCGAGAGGTCCTCTTCAGAGCTAGTGAAGGGGCCCCTGATGGCCTGACGGAGGCCCTATAAACTAAAGAAAGGCCCTCTTGGTACACGAGAGGGCCCTTTGAAAACATGAAGGGGCCGCCTGATCGCTTACCAGGGGCCCTCTAACCTGCAGAAAGGCCCTCTTAGCGCATAAAGGGCCCCCTGATCGTTTGACAGGGGCCCTCTGAACGAAAGAAAGGTCCTCTGGGTACACGAGAGGGTCCTCTGAAAGCCTGATCGCTTGACGGGGACCCTCTGAACTACAGGGAAACCCTCTGATTGCATTAAGGCCCCCCTGGGCCTGATCGCTTGACAGGGGCCCTCTGAACTGCAGAAAGGCCCTCTGAGTACACGACAGGGCCCTCTGAACGCATGAAGGGGCCCCTGATTGACGTGGGCCTTCTGAGCTACAGTAAAACATTCTGAGCGCATGAAAGGGCCCCCGGTCGCTGGACGGGGGCCCTCTTAGCTACCGACGGGCCCTCTGAACGCATCGAGCTGCCCTCTGAGGCGAGCTCATGATGGGGTTCTCTGACTAACATCTGAAGGGTCCTCTGTCAGTGTAAATTGGAACCGCTACTTGCGTGAGGGGCCCTTTTTTACCGAGAGGGCCCTCTGTCGGTCTGAGGGGCCTCCGAACGGCCTGAGGGGCCCTTTGTTTGTACGAGGGGCCTATATCAACTGAAGGGGCCTTTTCCCCAACTGAGGAGGTCCTATCGACATGAGGGGCCTCTGTCAGTCTCAGGGTCCCTCTCTCGACGTGGGATAGGCCCTCCGCTGTTCTGAGGGCCCCTCCCGGTCTATGGGGCCCTCGATTGACCTGAGAGAGCCCTCTGTTCACCTGAGGGGCCCTCTGTTGATCTGTTGGTTTCTGACGGTTGGTCTGATTCTATGTCGGTTTGATGGATCTCGGATAGGATCCACTGTCGATCTGAGGGGCCCCTATCGGTTTGAGGAGGCCCTCAAATGACCTGATGGCCCTTAGTTTGTCTTAGAGGGCCTTCCGTCGGTCCGACAGGGCCCTCTGCAAGTGCAAGGGGGCCTTTTGTCGGTCTGAGTGGCCCTTAGACGGCTTACATGACCCTAGAGACGGCTTACGAGGCTCTCATGACCTGTATGGGCCTTTGACGGTCTGAAGGACCCTCATTCGACCTACGAGCCCCTCAGTCCGCCTTCAGAACCGGCTGAGTGACTCTATGAAGCTATTCGTGGGCCCTATCTAGCAGGGCCCATGGACTGCTTGCCCCCTCAGTTCTAACCTTTTTATCTTTTAAAGGTAGACTGCCACCTTTTTTCCACAAAACGGTTTTCACTAGAGCTGAGCCACCTATGTCCCAGACTGAAGTCGGTTTTCCGAAATTCGAACCCGTTTGCGAGAAATCGGAGACCAAAGTTCAGTTTGATGCCATTTTTTTAGTCCAAGAAAACCGACATCTCTACTGTTTATCGATAACTTTGAAACATGAATTTTCTTATCTTTTGGTAAATATATGTCAAAACTTTGATTGTTTCGAGATCAGAGAAGAATTTTGGAGTGTCAAAATAAAAGTTAAACTTATATATTCAGTAGTTCATTTTTTCCAAAAAAGTGTGGGAAATGGGGTTTAACATGGGCCAGACCCGTTCCAAATGAGCCATGATTTTTATAAATGTTTTACGAACTTAAATGCAAAATAAATTAAACATGGCCAATTTCTTATGAAATCATATATTAGTAACTCATAAAATACCTTACTTTTTCAAATAAAATGTAATAATCTTATGACCTTGAAGTCTAGTGATGTGTAAACATTGTCGCTAGACATTAACCGATTGATAAATGTATGATAATCGACAATTTTTTTCGCGATTCACGTGATGATACTTTGTCGGGTGAATTCTAAAATTTTGTTTTGTCCAGGGAATAAATCATAGGCCGATCTGAGAAAACTTTTTGAAGGTGGCAGTCTTCCTTTAAAATAAATATTTTTTCAATTTATTTGGGCCCTCTCCAAAAAATAGTGGATGAAATCCGATGACTTTTTGGATTTTAAGGGGGTTTACCTTGGGCCCCTGTAAGTTAGGAACCCCCCTTGAGGAAATCCTGGCTACGCCCCTGCCTCCCGCTCACCCTTTCTAATCACCCCACAGCCCGACTGGCTCCTTAGCACCCACCTTATGAGCGTCTCCTTGAGCCGCTCGTTCTGCTGTGTCAGCTGCTTCACCTGGAAGCTGGTGGCGGCCGCCTCGCCGCTGTCGCCCTTCTGTTGCACCTCCTCCTGCAGAATCTGCAGGTCCAGTCGCAGCTCTTCGATCCGCTCGTTGGCCTGGTCGAGCTCCAGCTGCAGCGTCTCAGCCTTCTCGTCCGCCATCTCCTTGTCGAGCGCGGCCATCTCCAGCGTCTCCTGGACGTCCGAGGTCTCCTCCTGGATGCGCTGGCGCTCCTCGATCGCCTCCTGACGCTCCTCCTTGGCCTTTTTCAGCTCCTTCTGCAGCTGCGCCTGCTGCTCCAGCATGCGCGCCTTGAACTCCTGCAGCTGCTCTAGCTGAATGCGCATCTTGTCCAGCTCCTTGAGCTTGTCGCGGTCCTGCGCGCGCTTGGCTGCGGCGAGGGGAGATGCAGGAGGAGCAGTTAGAGAGAAGGCTACGAGCCAACGTCAGAGTGTGTTTGGTGTTTGACACACTCGAGAGTGGCATAAGCTTAACTGACATTGGAACCCCATAAGCAATTCAAAACGCCTTACTAAAGCTGCAGCCTCCAATCGACAACAATTTGCAGCTGGGAAACAATATGGTCGAGGTATTAACAGCAAAGAAGCCGTCGACGATAACTGAAGCTGAAGCTTCACAATCTACAAAATATTTTAAGAATCTAATCACTATCAGCATGATCTTTCTCCTAACTCCACGCTGCAGTCTCCTCCTAGTCCTCAATATCCTTTCCCCTCTTACTTTTAAGTGTTTCGAGTTTCTCGTTGAGGTCTTTGACCTCGTCCCGGAGGTTGTCGATCTCTCGCTGCTGGTCGGCGGCCGACGGCCCGGCCGGAGCCGCTGCGGCTGGACTGGGTGTCACGGGCGCGGCGCTCTCCACGAAACCCGTCTGTGGGAGGGGCGAGGTAGCAGGTAAGCGAGACAGTCCGTCAAATGCCATTGAAACTCTGACGGAAGCATTTCACCTGGAGCCTGATGTTCGCAGTTTTTGAAGCACGTAGTTAGATCACCATCACGGAATATCATACGCAATGAAGCATGGTCTAACTGAGGCAATTATGGTTTACTTGAGAATGGGAGCTGCGAATGGGTTCACCTAGCAGCTGCTACAATACTGCTTTCTAGTGAACCGAAACGTACCCATTAACAGCACCAACATTCCATGTTAAATCAGTCGAGTCTCCTTGCTAACCCAACACATTCCAAATTGTGCAAATTCAAACATGCCATCCGAGCTCACGCACCTCGACAAACGAGGCCCTCTTGTTGGCGGTGAGGTCCTGCGTCGAGCCGGTGGCACTTCGCTCCTTCTTTGGCGAGATCTCCAGCGTGGAGGATGCCTTCTTGGTGGGCATGTTGCGCCCCTTGGGGCTGATTTTGGTCGGCTCGCGCGGGGAGGCATGGCCCGAGAGGCGGCCCGTTGAGCCCGGCGTCGGTAGCCTGCAGCCCAGCCCAGAGGGTTCAGGGTGAATGACAGAAGGGTATGGTTTTAGGGGATGGGAGGCTAGTCTCACTCAAACTAGCTGGCGACAATAGCTTAGGTGAAAAATGCACAGGTATGAACAAAGTAATTCGATTATTCGAGGACATCATAACAAACAGATGGGCACTGGCGTGAGAAGAGGTAATGGTAGTTTATAAATTTAAGTCATGTGTGGAAAAATGTACATGATATGATATGCTACATAAATAGAATGATAAGGACCTTGTGAGACGTGGGGCTGGAGTGCACAAAACGCTCAGGCAGTATAAGCAAGGAAATGCAAGGAATATGATGAAGGAGCAAGGCAAGGATAAGGATAAACAAACTTCATTAACACTGTCACAGCGAACAACAGGCTATGAGATAATATTTACTGACACACTTAAACATTGTAAAATGTAAACAGGCATCACAAAATGCAAACCCTCGAACACTTCGCTCATCATCTATGTACAGATCCAGATAATGTATGTCACAAAAATATCACTATGGGCTCCCAGGAACCGCATACGGATGACGGAACCGCCGCTCTGCGATGATGCTGAAAAGGGCATGCAAATTGCAATGCAGACATGCTGGGTGCAAGGATGCGACGTGCAGATAGGCAGACAAATGGCGGGCTCTGCACAAATGTACAGCCACACGTACGAGAAGACACATTTGTATACGACGGAACGGCAAAACGACAAGGGTACAATTACGATCGCTGACCCGTCTGGCTAGCAGGGACAAGACAGTGGACACAACACTAAAAATGGACGGGTGAGACTGAAATGTTGATTAGGAGCTGCAATACGGATGGATTTGTTACGCTGCGTAGAGATCTTTGGAGCATAATCCTAAAGGCAAGGTAGGGAAGCGGGAGATGGTTTCATGATGAAGCTTTCTGGCAGGATGCTGGAGCCGCTGAAAGGAGTACCTAAAAGCCACGAAAATTATAGGCATCAAAACCATCAGTGGATTAGGTGACTGTCAGGCGATCGAATCCAGTACAGATCATGCTCGGGAATAGACGCGGAGACACGGAGACAGACACAGAGACACAGAGACACGACATGCCAGACTGCGGAGACACGCCAGAGGAGAGATCGCCAGCTAAAACACCACAGTTTGCCGATCACACCGACACAGAGCGTAGAACTGGACCGAAATGGAATCAAATGATAGAATGGTGTGGCCTAAGAACTCTCGTCAGATTATAAGAATTCATCGAAACGGAAACAGTTTGAACAAATAGGCGAATTAATATCATGATAGGCACTAGGCAGACGTAAGAATTTCAAAACAATGGCAGCGGCAAACCAGACTGATGAGACGGCCTATGAAATGAAGGATATTTTTCAACGCTACTTTCCAACTAAAAACCATCATGAAAGCTCATGCATCCCTCCGAAAACAAAGTCAGCTGCGTAAAAGAAACCAGCCAGCAGTCAAGACTTCCACAACATAAATACCCCTAGCTTCTTCAAAAGTCAAAGAGATGTGAATGTGAAAAAGTGCACAGATCTAACCACTCCAAAATGTGATGTAATGTGGAATATCAAACCGATTTCCTCAATCCCCCCTTGCAAAAAACGAGGTATACATGAAAAAAATCATAGTTTTGTAACTAGGCAACTTATGTAGAACAGCATGAGAGAACAGCAAGCCGTTCGAGTCCAAAGCTACCAAACGATAACTGTCCGGGAAAAATCACAGTTCCAACTATACACCATAGAAGCACTGCTGCTCCAGGAATCATAACTGCTACCGAGGAATAGGGAGCACAGCTAGCGGCACTGTACAGAGCGATAGAAGCTAGCCACAGACTTACTGGAGCCGCTGACGCCTCGGCCCCACCGCTGGCTTTCTAGGGGGCAGAGGGGGACACCGTTGGAGCATACAGCCCCAGCGTCCCCAGCGCGACAGGCTAAACGAGGAAATATGAACCACGGAACCTCAGCAAAATTAGAGAACGAAAGCCACCCGAATTCGTAGCACTCTGTAACCAACTTGAAAAGCTAGCCCTGATTCAGGAACATCGCTGTAAATAATTCCAGAAAGGAGCATGCCCAACACCATAGCCCGTGGTGCGTCGATGACCTTCCAAACACCGAACCAAGTGCCACCCTTTTCCGTGCCTGACGCCCCACTATCCGTGCCCGCACAAGCGACCCGTGCCCTGTGTCACGGCCCGTGTTCAGACCGTGCCAGACCCGTGAATTAAATCTGCCTGCGTGCGAAAACACCGTGAACCAGGCGGGTCGCCTGTGGGGTGACTATTTCTTCATCCCCTGCCTACCTTCCGGCATGAGGGTCGCGCCGAGCAAAACTGAAAGCACAGCGCCCACGGTTAGAACACGTCTGCCTGAGCGGCACAAATTGTCTCAGCACACTGTAACAGCACATAGAGACAGCACAGGTCTGTTGTAGCAGCACACAAGGTAAGGCATGGGCCAATGGTAATACCATAGTACGGCACAGGTCTCTTACAACACAGGGAGGCAGCAAAGGACTCAAACGACAAAAGGAAGATGAGGTAAGCGTGCCTGTTAGGAGGCAAGTATAAGAGGAAGCGGAGCGAGGCCGGGTGACACCGTCATGATACAAGGGAGAACAGAAACTCAGAGGATAGGGTAAAGACTTGATCAATGCGGGCCGAGTTCAGGATTGGCACATCATCTGCGAAATCGGAATGAATGAGGGCCCAGTTTGGACTTCCCTGAATATTTGGCGAAAGACTCATTGAGAATACAATAAGCACTTGATATTCTTAGCTTAAAGGTTCATCCTTCTGGCTTGAAGAGCAATGTTGACAAAAACATATGTTCCTATCTCACTAGTAGGCTCATAACAGGTTAGCCTGTATCCACGTCCTTGTTTTCAGAGCTAGGGTGTCCCTATTGATCGTTAAGATACGTTGTTGATTAGTTCTTGCATTTTATTTTTGCACCGTTCTAGCATACGGTGACTAACTCTTAGCCAGCTATACGCTGCTTCAATGGTTTCCGCACGGCGTTGATTAGTTCTAATCAATGCACCGCCTTAGATCGCGGTGTCTAACTCTCCAAATACTGAACGAATCCCCCATACAAGCACGCATTATGTCAAATAACTAGTTCTCTCCCGCGCGGGTCTAGTTCTCGCGGCGACGGGGGCAGCCGGCTGGCCCCCGTCGCACGTTTGGGTTAGTGGGCGGTGGGTGCTATAGCGGCGTGGGTGCTCCCCAGCCGATGTAGGTTAGTTCGAGGCACCGAAGACCCCGCGGCGCATGGACCACGGACGTGTACCACACACTGACAAAAAGACATCGTCAATAAATGACAGCGACGAAGGACAATATGAGCTACGCCCAGGCGAAGGCATTGAGATCTACAGATCAGACATAGAAACTACAGATAACACTAGCATCCGACAAAGTTGACCCGGACAGAGATTGAAGCCCGGGCAGTCTGTGGCATTAGACTATCTCCCAGTGACCAAGCCACCGGTCAGAAAGCGACTCGAAATCGAGTCAATCGCTATGACAGACCAAGACCAAGACCAAGAGACTATCACAACCAGACAGACAGACAGATAGACGCCGCCGCGGGGTCTACGCGTCACAGGCGGACGGACGATCCAGCTAAGACTAGAGACTAGTAGAGTCGGCGGCGGCGGGCCGGCATTCCGTTAGCCCCGCCGGGTCTACAGAGGACAGAGATCAGCCACGGTGCGCGGCGGGCGGCGCGTGCTCCCCAGCCCGTGCGAGCGGCGTTCGTTACTTGTTGACGCTGTCGCCCGATCGCGAGCGGGGCATGGCTGCGGCCGCGGCCGGCCGGCCCGGGGTGGCCGCCGAGCTGGGCGCCGCCATGGAGAGGCGCGGCAGGCGCGACAGGCCGCCGCCCACCGACGCCGAGCCGCCCGACGACAGACGAGACGCCGGGCTGGACGCAGCGGTGCACAGATGCGTGCGGGACGTTGTGGTGACATGTGGGGACAATGCTGACACTCGGTGACAATCGGTGACAATGATTCGGTGACAGTCAGTGACATTCAGTGACACTCGGACTACACTGGGGCATACTTGGTGACACAGACATACTCTATGTGGTCAAACAGTGAGCTTCTAGAGGTTGTGAATAATCAATATGCGGTGGTGAGAGCTGAGGCAGTGATAATAGTGCTGAGCAGTAAGTTAAACTCAATACTGCAAGTGAAGTCACGGCGTGAGGATGCACCGGAAACACGATAGCCGGGTGCGAAACACGTCAATATAACTCGGACTCTTCGGGGCAACACCCACGTCCCACACACTGTGATATACGGCTAGACGCTGTAAAAGAAATAATCATCCGTGTGTAACCGCGCAGCCGGCCGCCTGAAACAGCAATGTTAAAACTGCACATGAAAACAAGTGCGCCAGCTACACGGCGCACTTGTTCTACAGGGGAGACCTCTCGACAGCTACAACTGGCCACCATCAGCAGACCAGTAGCCATGGCGTCACAGCAGGCATCGGCCCACACCCTGATCGGCAGCGAATGCAACGTGTCTACGGCGCCACAGAAAGGCGTCACGCGTGACCAAAAGGCGTCAGACGTCGCAGAGAGGCGTCACGCGCAACAGGCAGATGTCACATTGGACACTGGACAACGTCGGAGGAGACAGGCAGAGCCAGACAGCCACGTGGGAGCTACCGGGGCCGGAACTGGACTGAAATAGCACTGTGCGCCAAATGAGTTCAGCTACGCGGCTGGAAGCGGCCGAGACAGTGGACTGAAACAAATGCCTGCAGCGTTACACGAGGCAGTGCAGCTGTCAGTTATCTGTAAACAGAACGAGAAGGCCTGCGTAGAGCGGGAAACCGTACTCATTTGTGGCTGAGGAGCAAAAGAAATGAAACGTCAATGGTTCACAGTTGACATGGCGTAACGAAAAGGGCTAGAGATAAGCTCAAATAAAATTGTCAAAAATACTTCGCATATGCAAAGCAGCACCAAACCACTCAGTATATAGGACGTAGTAATCCCGAGTTAAACTCGGCTCCTGACGAGATTATTTACACCTTTATATTTCTAACTCTCAATTGTATACACTTCTAAAGTGGCTGTACAGACAAACACGCACACGCGCACACACGAGCATACAAACGCACGCACACGCTTGTATCTATACCTCAAATCAATGTGTCACGCCACCTACCGACTTTTCGGTTTTTCCGGTACCGGGGTGGCGGATTTAGAGCCGGGTGCAGAGCCGCCTCCGTCCAGAATGGTGAGCTGCGTTTGGCGCACGAACACACCATGGTTGTCTTCACACTGTGGAAGGGGATGGGAGAGTGGGATGAAGTCAGCCACGCAGCAGCGGTCGATCTTACCAGACCAGGAAACGGTATAACAACCCATGAAATTTATGCTGTCGACTGATGACAAATCGTCGACAAATTTTGACAAAAATGAAATGATAACAGCAAATCGAGCATAATGAACGGCATAAAGACGGCACGAGAGCATTGCTATTTTTCAATGTTCTAAAACGACAAATTCGAGCATTTGAAAAGAAAAGAAAAACTTTACCTCAAATTCAAATTGTATCTGTGAAAAAGTGAGTTGACTGCATCAACAACTGACTGAAGCAGGACTCCTGCACCTCCATTCACTGACCTGAAAGTATGTCTTTCCCTGGACGGTGCCATTGTTCTTGCCCTTGGGCTCGTCGAGCACGACTCCGACCCACTTTCCGGCGGCGAACTGAGCGGTGCCCACGTAGGCCACGGTGCCGACGCAGTCCTTGGTCTGTACACGCTGGCCCACCTTCACTGACGGTTCGGCCATCGTGAATGGACTCGGCTACTGTGCCAGCTACAGTGGCTGTGGAAACCGAAGGCAGGGAGAAATGTCACTCAGGGATTTGCTTAAGACAAAACTGGAACTGACAGCCATTCAGCAGTCAGCTGCCAGCAAGCCAGTCCAGTCTAGCCAGTGGTTTGACAGCGATTTGACTCACTGCCACTAATGACTTACCTACCCTGTAACCACATGGGCCCTTTACACTTCACAGTTCACAGACTACTTAGCTTTAGGAGCCATAACTAATTTTTCCAGAGATATTCTAGAAAAGGGAAACAAGTGATACAGCCAAAAGGTTTACCTGCACTTTACAGGGCGAGTCTCAGTGAGTAGCCAGACTGCAAAGCATGACAACTTTGACAAGATTTAGTCAATGCAGCAGTACTAAGCTGGTGTGCACTTGAGATTTACTGTGGTGTGGTGTGGAATCTGCATGGAGCTGTGCAGTCCTGACATGTTAGGTAGGTACTTAGGTACCATGCCAAGCTGCTATTCAAGTGTCGCAGTGTCCATGAAAAGAAAATGATGTAGAGCAGACACAATGGGGAATAATTTATTTTCATTGCAGTTTTGATAGGACAAGTGCAATGCTATCAGTTTTGTAATAGAATCTCTACATCTTCTTTGGCGTCACTCCGAGCTGGTGTGCCATGTGGATTTCCAGTCTTGTTGGTATCGGCTGGTGCAGAATTTTCGGTATTAGTATATATTACCTGTCCGAGTGGACAATTGTGACGTTGTTGATACAAATATGTAACAGCAAAAAATTTAGGTTTTAGGTTAGGTTAGGTTAGGTTGTAGGTTTGTAGGTTTTAGGTTGTAGGTTTGTAGGTTAGGTTAGGTTAGGTTGTAGGTTTGTACATAGATTGTAGGTTGGTAGGTTGAAGTTGAAGTTGAAGTTGAGCATTAGTGAGCTGTAGTAGACTAGGTCTATTCAATGCTCACATCGAGCCGGACTAGGAAATGAGCCATAAGGTCAGTTGTGGCGTGAGGATGCAGGTTTGGCAGCCCTGTGTTGGTCTAGTCTTCGTTTGAACTTGTTTGTAGAAGTAGCCTCCACCACATCTCTAGGCAATCCGTTCCAGTCATTAACTACTCTGTTTGAAAAGAACTTCAGCCTGTATAGATGACTTGATCTGCCTTTTTTCAGCTTCAGATGATGCCCTCTCGTGCGGTCTTCATGGTCGACTTCAAAGAACTGATCACTGTCCACCTTAACCTTCCCTGTCAGGAGCTTGTATGTTTCAATGAGGTCGCCTCGACGCAGTCTGTCTTCTACGCTAAGAAGTCCAAGACTGCGGAGGCGCTCTGGGTAGGGTGTGCTCCTTAAAGGTTTTACAAGCTTTGTCGCCCTCCTTTGAACTTGTTCCAGCAGCTTGATGTCCTTTGCAGTGTACGGGCCAACAGCCTGCATACCATATTCAAGATGTGGGCGGACGTAGGTGGTGAACAGAGGTTTGAAGTTGTCGAGATCCAGTCTATCAAATGCTTGCTTTAGCATACGTAGGGCTGACATACCCTTAGAAGCAGCTTTCTGGCAGTGGACTGATGGCTTCAAGTTGTTTGTGATGTAAACTCCTAGGTCCTTTTCCAGGGTACTGACTTGTAGTTTTTTACTGGTTGTGCCATCTGACATGAAGTAGTCTACACTTGGATTGTTCGAGCCACAGTGCATCACTTTACATTTTGCCTCATTGAATCTCAAAGGCCAGTCCTGAGACCATTTCTGCAGAAGTGATATGTCTTGTTGGAGAATCTCAGCGTCCTGTTTTGCTTGAATAGGCCTGTATATCTTGGCGTCGTCCGCAAACATTTTCATGTTGCTGCGCACAAGATCTGGCAGCTCATTGACAAACATGATGAACAGGACTGGTCCCAACACTGACCCTTGGGGGACCCCACTGATGACTGAACACCATTCAGAGTGATCTGTCCCTACCACCACTCGTTGTCTTCTGTTTGTCAAAAATGCACTAATCCAAGACAATACATTTCCCTTGATACCATATCCGTAGAGTTTCTTCATCAGTCGCTTGTGGGGTACACTGTCAAATGCTTTTTGATAGTCCAGGTACAGTATATCCACACCTCGTCCTTCATCAATAGCTTTCGTCCAGTGTTCAAGGGCCTCCAGCAGGTTGGTCTGACAAGACCTCTTGGATACAAAACCATGTTGCTGTTGGCTCAGGAGGTTGTTTCTCTCGAGATGAGCTGTCACACTCCTTTTAATCAACCTTTCCATCACTTTTCCAACTTGGCTGGTCAAGCTTACAGGTCTGTAGTTCCCTGGTTTATTTCTGTTACCTTTCTTGTGGATTGGGACAATATTAGCATCCTTCCAATCTTGTGGTAATTGGCCTTCTTGAAGTGACTTTGTGAATAACTTGTAAAGAGGTCGAGTTAGCTGCTCTGCACACCTCTTCAACACAATGCTGGGGATACCATCAGGACCAGGTGCTTTTTGTTCACATAAGTTGACAAGTTCGTTTCTGATTGATTCAGTAGTCATCTCAATGTCTGTGATGGCTGCCTCAGGTTGCACGCGCTCCTCGAAGTCTGGTAGAGGAGTATCACCCTCTTTCACAAAAACAGATTTGAAGAAATCTTGCAGGGCTTCAGCAGTTTCTTGATCATTTGAGGTCAAGCTCGTACCATTTTCAACTGCATGTATAGCTGGTTTGACCTTCTGCTGGCTCCTGATGTACTTGTATAATTGTTTTGGATTTTGCTTGACTGTTCTGACCAATGCTGCTTCATAGTTGTGTCTGTGTTTCCTGATTTTACCAGTAGTGATATTACGCTGCCTGGTGTATTCTTTATAATCTTCACTTGACTTGGATATAGCATATTTTTTCCAGGCACCATGTTTGAGCTTCACCGCCTTGGTTAGTTCCCTGTTCCACCAGGGCGCAGCCTTCTTGCTTGACTTTTTACTGTGCTTTGGAACTAGGGTTTCAAAACATTTGTTAATCCTTTCTTTGATGCAATGCCACATATCTTCTACTGTCTTATCATTTAGCATATTCCAATCAACAATTTCTAGTGTTTCCCTGATCCCTGGGAAATTGGCTCTTGCAAAGTTCAGGCTTGCCTTACTTTTAATTGCCATTCTATCAGGTTTTTCTCCCAAGAAAAGGGTCCACGATAGGACAGCATGATCACTTTTCCCTAGTGGGTCCCCTATGTTGACCTCCTCAATCATCCCTTGCTCATCTGTAAATACCAAGTCAAGTCTGGATGGATCCTGTCCATCTCTGAAACGAGTAGGGTGACGCACATGCTGATAGAGGTAAAGATCTTGTATAGTGTCAAGAAACTTTGCTTCCTCTGAATCTTCACTTCCCTCAACTGTCTGACTTTCCCAATGTATCTGTCTGAAATTAAAGTCTCCCATGATCAATACGTTCCTGGCATTTACATTTGGCACTCTCTTCAGTAGGTTGTTCAATATTGTGTTGTCTTCTGGCGTATTACTTGGTGTCCTGTAACAAACTCCTACTAGTAGGCAGGCATGTTTGCCGATTCTGATTTTGCACCAAACACAGTCATCAATAGCGTCTCCGTTTAAATCATTGCATTCTTCAATCTTCCAGCAGTCCTTTACTAATATAACCACACCTCCTCCCAACCGACCTGCCTTCCTGTCCTTTCGCACCTGCTGGTAGCCATTTATTTCAAAGTCATGCTTTTGCCAAACTTCAGTGATACCCATCACATCTGGTTTTTCCTTGTCTAACCTGCCTCTTAATTCACTAAGCTTATTGCTCAAACAGTTTGCATTTGTATACAAGCAACTCATTTGACAAGTTGAACCTACTTGCCTAGTGTCTGGGGACGACCTTCCCCCGAAAGATCCTGTAGTTCTCCCTTCCTTTTCTGGTCAATTCCTCCCTCAGCCTTTTTTGTTCTTCCCGTTCTTCTGGTGATAGATCATGTGTCAGGTACACATTGTTAAACCCAACATCCTTCAAGTCCCATCTTCTCTTCATCAGTGAATCGACGTCCTCTTTGTTTTTAAGGCTGACAAGAAGAAGTCGAGGCTTGGGTTCTTCCTCCCCATCTTCCTGCGTCCTTTTCTTTCCGAGTCTGAAGATCTTGTTTACCTTGACTTCTTCCCTTTCCCCGAGCAGTGCACTCACGATGTTGTCAAAGCTGTCTAAATCATACTTCTTCCGGCTCTCCGGATCACTTGCCCTGCTTTCAGGTATGTTGTGAATGATGATGTTGGATTCTCTTTGAGCTTTATCCTCCTTTTTTTCCATAAGTCTCCTTAACTCATTTGTGCTCTTTGCCATTTCTGTCTGTAGTTTTGGTAGAGTTTGCACTACTTCTGTGCTTTCTTTGATTGACTTCTTCATTTCAGCTTCCTGGGCTTGTATTTTCTCTGTGATGGTTTTCTCGAGCCTGGCCAGCTGTCCCTGGACCCGAACTCCTTCATCACCTGCAGGCTGCTTTTTTTCAAGAGCAGATATACATGACAAAATGTTTTGCTCTGCTTTTTCAATCCTACTCTCAAGCTGTTTTCCCATTTTTGGCATTCCCACGAAATTGGGCTTGCAGCCCGAGCAAACCCAGATAAAATCGTATTTTGATTTGTATTTGTTCAAAGCCCTGAATGCCTCGATCGTCAGCCCCTGCCATTTGGGGTGAAACCACTCTTCACACAAATCACAGCTAACTGAGTCATCTTGGTCTGAAATAGATAAGCCACATGCTTTCTTACCTCCTTTGCATGTGTATGCTGTCTTTACCTTTTTCATCGAACCCGGCGTTTCACCTTCTTCTCCCCCACGCTCCTTTGGATCTCTTGTATCTCCAGCGTTGTGTTTTTCTTGGTCCATTCCTGGCGCAGCGCCAGCGGGCGCCGCTTTTGTCTTGTTTTTCACACCACTTGACATCTAAATCAAAAGTAAGTCCTTCTTACTTTTTAGGTTGCTTTATTTTTTAATCGTCTTCTTTCCACTAATTGCTTAGTTAATTTTCTTCTGAGTTGTATCTTTCAAGTTCTCAAGCTTTCAAAC